AGTGCACCCCACGGGTGGGAGAGGTGGGGACCGGTCTGTGTGGTGGGTTCCCAGGAGCAGCAGCATCCCCGCTTAACATCCATCCCTGCCCAGCATCCATCCCCACCCGACATCCATCCCTGCCCGACATCCATCCCTTCCCGCCATCCATCCCTGCCCAGCATCCATCCCCACCCGACATCCATCCCTTCCCGCCATCCATCCCTGCCCAGCATCCATCCCCACCCGACATCCATCCCTTCCCGCCATCCATCCCTGCCCAGCATCCATCCCCACCCGACATCCATCCCTTCCCGCCATCCATCCCTGCCCAGCATCCATCCCCACCCGACATCCATCCCTTCCCGCCATCCATCCCTGCCCAGCATCCATCCCCACCCGACATCCATCCCTTCCCGCCATCCATCCCTGCCCAGCATCCATCCCCACCCGACATCCATCCCTTCCCGCCATCCATCCCTGCCCAGCATCCATCCCCACCCGACATCCATCCCTTCCCGCCATCCATCCCTGCCCAGCATCCATCCCCACCCGACATCCATCCCTTCCCGCCATCCATCCCTGCCCAGCATCCATCCCCACCCGACATCCATCCCTTCCCGCCATCCATCCCTGCCCAGCATCCATCCCCACCCGACATCCATCCCTTCCCGCCATCCATCCCTGCCCAGCATCCATCCCCACCCGACATCCATCCCTTCCCGCCATCCATCCCTGCCCAGCATCCATCCCCACCCGACATCCATCCCTTCCCGCCATCCATCCCTGCCCAGCATCCATCCCCACCCGACATCCATCCCTTCCCGCCATCCATCCCTGCCCAGCATCCATCCCCACCCGACATCCATCCCTGCCTGCCGTGCCCAGCCCTGCCTGGAGGAGCAGGATGCTGCCACTGCTCTGGGTTGTCCCTGCACCCACGGGGGATGTGTTTGTCCCGGTGCCACACCGGGAGCTCTGCAGGGAACATGGGTTGGCCAGACCTCAGCAGCCTCGGGCTCAGGGTGCAGCCTGGGGCTGGGGGAGCATGGGGTGAGCAGGGGTGAGGTGGCTGGGTGGGCTGGGGAGCAGCACTTGCAGACCAGGCAGTGGCACAGCCCCACTCCTGCTCAGCCCCGGGCTGTGCTGGCACAGCTGTCAGCAGCAGAGGGTGGGCACAAACAGGGAGGGGGCTGAGGGGATCCAGCCTCACCTCAGGTGGCATCTGGTACCCACCAGAATATTTGCAAACTTCTCCTGGAGGCCACCAAGACTCTGTTCCCTTTCCTTTGGTGACCTCAAGGGTTTTGGTGCACATGGGTAACCCTCTCCTCCCCTCCTCCCAGTCACCCCATCCCTACCTGTCCTGAGATGCTTCCCAGGGCCTCGGGGTTGGTAGCAGAAGGGCTGTGCTGTCCCGGGGGGCTGTGGCAGTTCTGTGGGGAGCATCAGGGAGCTGAGCTGCCAGCCAGGTCCCTGTGGCTGCCAGTGATCGTGCTAGTGGGCAGAGGCTCACCTTTCAGGGACAGGTGCTATTGGATCTGCTGCAGGGAAGCCAAGCCCGGGAGATTGGGTTACAGGCACCCAGGTAACAAAGAACTCTGAAATCTAAGCCCAGGAATGGTCATCAACCATCACCTGTGCTTCACTAACAGACGGAGCTGTCCCTGTGAGGCCAGGGAGCTCTGGGCTCCACCGTGGGCACGCTGGATATCGTCTGGACCCGGGCAGCAGCAGCAAAGTCCTCCACGTCCTCCCCAGCCAAGAACATCTGGGCAGATGTTGGCCAGCGGAGACCCCGTGGCGCTTCAGCCCACACATCCCCAGGTCCGGGCTGCGGGGACAGCTGTGGCAGGAGTGGGAGGGCACGGTGGGGTGGCAGGGCTGGGACTGGTGCAGGGACACTCTGATCCGGGCTGGCAGTGCCCGGTGTGTGGGGTGCGGTGGCCCTGCCCTTCCTTGGGGCTGCAGGCTCTGGTGTTGGGGCTGGGTTAGCAGTGCATCAGGCTGGGGACACCCCAGCGTCCCACCGGGACACCTGCAAGGTGCAGGACCCAGGGGAGGTGACAACGCCGGGGAAGCGCAGGACTCTGTCCCCACAGCTGCCCGTGGTCCAGCAGCGATGTCCCAGCCCTGGCATGGAGGCTGCTGCAGACTGCAGACGGGAGTGTGGTACGGGGACAGATCCTTTTCTCTGGGAGGAGAAAAGCCCATCCTGGAGGCAGGGCGGGACAGCCAGGACACCCGGCAGCATTCCTGCGTGGAGCAGGAGCGGGCAGCAGCTCCCACTGCAGGCAGAAGCAGGCAGGGAGACAGGCACGGCTCTCCCCTGCTGCCTCCTCACCAGCAGCCCTCAGGTCGTGTTTCCAACACTCCTCAGAGAAGGAATTGGGGGTTTTGGAAATGAAGATCCCCACAGGGTCACTGAGAGAAGGGCTCACCCCCTGACACTGGTGCCTGTGAGCCAGGGAGCAGCTCCAGCAGAGCAGCACCTCTGGGACACACATCCCGGGGCAGGACCCTGGTCCAGCCCTGCCACAGGCTTCCCGAGGCAGTGCACACGTGCTGTGTGTGCCCCCGGGCCCCCAGGCAACGGGGTGGCACCCCATGGCACCCCAAGGCAAGGCAAGCACAGGCCAGTGGGGCCAGTTTGGGACAGGGCTGTGCCAGGGACTCCGATGTTGGTCAAACCCATTGGCCCAGGTGGAACACTGGGTAGATCAGGATCCAGCTGTGCCCTGGCATGCCGGGGTACCACCGTGCCTGCCTGTGCAGCCCCACTGCTGGGCACCCCCGCACAGCACAGGCAGGGTTTGGGGCAGGGGAGCCCTTGATGACACAGGGACGGTGCATCTGCCATGCTGACACCATGAGCCCTGCCCAAAGCCCTCCTGGAGCCAGGAACAGGGAATCATAGAACAGTTAAGGTCAGAAAATACCTTTAAAATCATGGGGTCCAATATCAGGCCAGCACCACCACCAGGGTCAGCACCAACCATATTCCCAGCTGCCACATCAACACATTTTCTGAACGCTTCCAGGGATGGTGACTCCGCCGTGGCCCTGGGAAGCCGGTGCCAGGCCTTTACACCTTCAGTGGAAAGTTTTTCCCTAATATCCAACCTATCCCCTGGCACAACCTGAGGCCATTTCCTGTCACTTGTTACTTGGGAAAAGAGATGAACCTTCAGTTCAGTACAGCTCCTTTCAGGGAGTTGTGTGGAGCAGTAAGGTCTGCCCTCAGGGGAGGCAGATCTGCAATCAGCAGCGACACACATGGATGGGAAACGTGTTTTCCTGTTCCTAAACTCATCCCCGGGCGCTGCAGGGACCTTCGGCACCGCGGGGAGGGAGCGGCACCTCCGGGAGAGCAAAGGTCTGATCGGGATGAGCCAGGGCTCCGCCACCCACGCTCCAGAGGCAGGAGGGGACAGCGGCCCAGAACAATCCCCTGCACCCCTGGGCACCTCGGGAGGGTGAGCACAGCCAGGGAGCACCCAGGGGACTCTGCACTGCACCCTCCCCTGCTCTCCCCGTTCCCTGCCGCTGCAGTTTAATCATTGCCCGGTGTCTGGCAGCAGCGCCGGCCGCTCCCGCCGTGCTTGGCACGGCCCCGGGGCCAAGCAGAGCGAAGGGCAGCGGTGACACACGGCTCATGCTGCCCTTCCCTGCCCTGCCCGGGCCCTAGCACACCCTTGGCCAGAGTTTCCCCTCCCCAAGCCGTGTGTCCGTGTCCCGCAGCCGGGGCTCGCACGGGCCGGGCCGCCCGAAAGGAAACGGGGGCGGATCGGCCGCTCTGGGCAGCGAGAACAGGGAGCTCCTTGTGCGGGGCTGTGTCCCTGGCAGCCTCCCCCGCCAGTGACCGGGCCGAGCCTCTGCCGAGCCGCTGCCTGCCCAGCCCAGAATAACCCTGGGATTTCAGGAGGGACGGGCTTCCAAGCCATGGTGGGCTCCCATTGCTGATGGACTCCTGGGGGGTCACAGCCAGCCCGGGCAGTGGCGCAGAGCCCACCCAGCTGGCCCAGCCAGGAACTTCCCTTTGGCAGGCCCTTCCTCAGCCCCTCCCAAGGACTCACAAAGTCTTTCCAGACAGGACAGTCTGGCAGGGCTGGGCAGTGTCCCCAGACAGGCAGGAACGCCTGGGCACTGCTGGACCCAGGCTGGCACTGCTGGACCCAGGCTGGCACTGCTGGACCCAGGCTGGCACTGCTGGACCCAGGCTGGCACTGCTGGACCCAGGCTGGCACTGCTGGACCCAGGCTGGCACTGCTGGACCCAGGCTGGCACTGCTGGACCCAGGCTGGCACTGCTGGACCCAGGCTGGCACTGCTGGACCCAGGCTGGCACTGCTGGACCCAGGCTGGCACTGCTGGACCCAGGCTGGCACTGCTGGACCCAGGCTGGCACTGCTGGACCCAGGCTGGCAGTGGGGCACCAGGCAGCAGCCAAAGAGCTCAGCACGAGCTGCTGCTGCCACGAGTCAGCAGGGCAAGAGTTAAGCCTGGTCTGGAGATTTTAGCACTGCCCTTACACACCCACCAGGGAAAGCAAGCGAGCAAGAAGTGACACGGGAATCCCAGAAAAGCTTGGGTGGAGGAAACAGGCACACCTTGGCAGGGCAGAAGAGGGCTGTAATTTTATTTGCAGCACCCTGAAGTCATCTGCAAACACAGGCGCTCCTCCCAAGCCCCGGCTCCCGCAGAGCAGGCAGTTGTGCAGCAGCTGCCGCCTGGCAGAACAGCTGTCCCTGGGACGCCAGCACCAGGGAGGGACGGCAGCACCACGGCGGGACATCAGCACAACAGCAGGCTTGTTCCAGGTCGATGGCAGCAGCCCCAGCCGAAAGCCCAGCCTGGCGGTGCCCCAGCTCACTGGGAAGAGCCCGCAGGCTCCTCCCGCCTTCCTCCAAGCCCAGGGAGTTGCAAAAGGCGAATGCTGGGGCTCTGCATCCCCAGCAAGATGCCCCAGTGCTGCCCCACTGCTGGAGCTGGGCCAGCCCTCTGCACTGGAGCTGTCCCGGGGATGCAGAAGGGACAAGAGGTTGTGCCCAGCGCCCCACAAGCCTGGCAGGAGGAACAGAATGGGGCTGGGGGTTTCCTGGCACTAGGATGTTAATGCCCACATCCATGCTGTGCCATCAGTGCTGCCCTGGAGCACAGCCAGATCTCTGCCATGCTTTGGCTGTCTGTCTTTCCTGTTTCTGTCCCTCTGTGCCATGGGCAGTGTGGTGAGGAGCAGGATCCAGAGTTTGGTGCAGGGTGCCAGCAGCATCCCCCTGATGCTGTGGGAAGGGGGATGAATCACTTCTGGGGAGGTGGGTCCCCTGTTCCAGCTGGAGCCTTGTCCCTGGCTCCTCTCCACTTCTCCAAGACAGTGACAATGATGTCCTCCATGCACACAGGGCTGCCAGCATCCAAACCTACCCACGAGCAGGTGGACACCGGCCAGACCTTCCCAGGGTGGAGGTTTCCCAGCACGGGGGTGGTGGCAGGGGCTCTGTGCAGGATTGCAGGCTCACAGTGCTCCCCCATTTCCAGTGCAGTCACTTCCTGGTGCCATCTGTCCTGGCACACATCATTCTCAGGGCTCCCGGGCCCCATGCCCCACCTGGCAGGAGCACATCTGGCTGCAGAGTTCCCAGGTATAAAGCAGTGTCAGTCCAGCCAGTGCCAGCTCTGCCAGGTGCCAGGGCAGTTCCCGGGGTGCCCAAAGCAGCAGCCATGTCTCTGTGGCCTGGCCTGGCCCCATCCCATGGTCAGCACATCCCGGCTGTGCAGGGAGGGCCCTTAGGAGATGACACAGCAGCACTTGGGGCAGCAGGAGCAGCAGCTGCAGCAGCCACACCGCCTGCCAGCCCCCCGCTCCTGGCTCTTGGGTGCCTTGTCCAGGGTGACGGTGTAGAAGGGGGCAGATGAGTCCCCATTGGGCATCCTCAGGCTGGCGTACGGGTTGTAGGGACGGGACCAGGACTTGTCTGTGGAGATGGTTGGGCCGTTCCAGCCGTTAGCAAGGTCTGTCTGCTCCTCCTTGCCACAGGAGGGCACGGCTGCAGGGTTGGCGATGATGGTGGGCTCATCTCTCAGGTAGCGAGTGATGAAGCTCTGCTGGAACTGCTCCCGTGGGATGTTGACGCTGGCGTAGGGGTTCTCCACGGTGACTCCACGATCCATCTCCCTGCCCCTTGTGAGCACAGCTGGCCTGGCTGGCACTGCCCACCCCCTGCGGGACAGAGCCCCCGTTACCCCGGGCTGTGGGGGTGTCAGTGCTGGGGTTGTTCCCACTGCAGGGGAAGGGACCCCCGGCAGACTGGTTTGGGTGCAGGGTGCAGAGCTGTGCTCCCCACTCCCTGCCAGCCCCAAGGGACCCCCACAAGGCACACATGGAGCCAGCAGAGCCAGGAGGGGAGGCAGGAGTGGGGGTGCAAGGGGTGGGCATTGAGGGGCAGGAGGCGGTGCTGAGTGGGACACAGAGTGCAGGTAGGGCAGTGGGGTGGGGTGAGAACTTCTAGGGGGATACCGAGCAGGAGGAAAGGGGGTGCAGGGGAGCGGAGAGGCAGAAGGAAGATGGGACAGGACAAGGGCAGTTGGGATAGGGCTTGGGGACGGGGCAGGCTGTGGGAGACAGGGAATCGGGGCGGGGGACGCAGAGGAAAAGGGGGGGCAGGCAGGGAAAGGGGCTCAGGGGGCAGCAGAGAGGACACGGGCAAGGTGGGGGCAGCGATCCCCCCGGTACTCACCGAGAGCGCGGCTCCGGCCGCTGCGGGGCCGCTCTGCCCCGGCTGCGCTTCCTCCTGCACGGACCGCCCCGGGCGGCGCCGCCCCGAGCGACCGACAGACAGACAGACAGACAGACCGGCCCCGAGAGACCGGGGCAAGAACACCCCTCACCCGGCACCCACCGCCCGGCACCAACACCGACCGAGCAGCCCAGCCCACCGGCCACTGGCACAGGGCAGGGGCCGCAGGGAGCCGGGCACCCACAGCCGGCACCGGACGATGGGCACTGGGCAGTGGACAGGGACACTGCACAGGGGGCACTGGGACCAGAACTGGACAGGGACACTTGGCACTGGACAGGGGCAGGGGGCAGTGGGAGGTGGGCACTGGACAGAGGCATTGGGCAGCAGGCAAGGCCACCGGTACCGAGGCACCAAAGCAGCACCAGCCACCAGAACCAGGAACTGAGTGCCAGCAGTGGATACCAGCACCACACAGTGCACAGTGAGCCCCATACTGCAGGCAGTGCCACCGTGCCCTGTCACCACTGCCAGGACATCTGACACCGGTACAGCCACCAGTACCATCCACAGGCACCAGCAACTGGGCACTGAGCTCTGGACACTGGCACCAGCACTGGCACCGCACTGGTTCTGGGCAGCAGGCAGGGACTGGGAGGGGGGCACTGCACTCCAGGGCTCTGCGGGAACCAGCAAACCCCGAGCTCCAGGCGCTGGGCACAGGGCACTAAGCACCATGCACTTGTCCTGAGCAGCGGGCAGGGGACATGAGCTCTGCACCCTCCGGCAGCCCCAGGCTCTGCCTGCCCGTGGGCACCCAGGTCCCTCCTGCAGCCCAGGACAGCCCTTGCCCGGCTGTGTCTGACCGTCCAGCCCTGAGAGTTAGGTTTAGGGTTAGGCTTAGGCTTAGGGTTAGGCATCCCAACGGTGGAGCTGTCCCTCCTCCAGCTCCTCCCAGGGCTCTCCCAGGCACCAGGAATGAAAAGCTCGGAGCCGATGCCATTGGTACGCGTTTCCCCGGGGCTCCCGGGCGGTGCAGTGCCTGACGCGGGCACAGGAGGGTGGTGATGCTCTTTGCAGTGCCGGAGGATGATGAAGGACGGCGCTCCCCAGAGCGGGAGGCTTTGCCAGCCGCGGAGGGGGAGCTCGGTGAGCCCCCAGTGCCGGTGGTGGCCGCTCACCCGACCTTGGGCCGGCTGAAGGCTCCGCTGGAGCTCAGGAGAGCCCGGGGGCGGCCGCTGTGGGGAAAGGACACACCGAGGGGTAGGGCCCGGGCAGAGATGGGAACCCCCAAATTCAGGCTGTGTGAAATGTGAGGAAAAATACACAACTTCGGGGGTCAAATAAAATGAGTGTTTATTAAGGAAAAAAGAAAAGTAAAAAAACCAAAGGGGAGTAAGGGGTAATGGGAAGGGGAGAAAGAAAGGAAGGAAAAAAAGAAACCCCGGGTCTGAGCATTAAGTCCTCTGACCGAACCGACGTTTGGCCCCAGTGCAGGAACTTTATGACACTGCAGCGAGTGCAGCTAATCTACACTCGAATTTATATAAATATATAAAAATAGAGGTAGAGCGAAGTCTGCAGTGCCGGGTCCCTGCAGCAGCCAGACAACAGCCATAAGTGACAGCTCTGAGGCACCTGCTGCCCCTTTTATACCCTCGGTCCCCTCAGTCGGGGCTGGAGCTCCGCCCCTGTGGTCTCTGTTGATTGGTGCTGGCAGACGATGAGGTAACACCTCTCATCCAATGGGGAGCTGCCACTGGGGTTGGTGGCGGGAAAATTCATCTCTGGTCTGTAGGGCCTTTGGAACGGGTTAAAAATCCCTTGGGAAATTCATCCCTGGTCTGTAGGGCCTTTGGAACGGGTTAAAAATCCCTTGGGAAATTCATCCCTGGTCTGTAGGGCCTTTGGAACGGGTTAAAAATCCCTTGGGAAATTCATCCCTGGTCTGTAGGGCCTTTGGAACAGGTAAAAATCCCTTGGGAAATTCATCCCTGGTCTGTAGGGCCTTTGGAACGGGTTAAAAATCCCTTGGGAAATTCATCCCTGGTCTGTAGGGCCTTTGGAACGGGTTAAAAATCCCTTGGGAAATTCATCCCTGGTCTGCACAGTTGTGAAGGAATAGGGCCTTTGGAACAGGTAAAAATCCCTTGGAAATGCTGCATGCTGTTGATGAGGGATTTGCCCTGGGGCTTTTGAAACTGAGACACTTAAAATGAATTCTTAAACTTACAAATAATGTATCAGTAACAACCAATACATGAGCAAGGGATTACAAAATAGGTATAATGCTTATTAAAATTGTTAGCTTTGTTAACAAAACAATATTCAATTAAAAAAAATTAAATTAAATTAAAGAACAATCAATTAAAATAAAGAACAGCCAGTACAACTCTGCAGTGACCTCATGTAACTCGTGGAAACTCCCTGCACAGAACTTGTACAACAACACTACTCTGCAACATTCTACTGGCTCCAAACAGCAATTTCAAATAATCACACATGCAAAAGCCAATTAAGGGGCTTTATAAATGACAGAAACACAAGTCTCCTGCCGTAGAGCCCAGTTGTGCGAGGTTTTCTTCAAGGCTTTTACCTTTAATTGTCAGCTGCCTCCTCATTAACATCAGAGTGAGGCCTGGGGTACAGAAAGAGGGGTCACTGGGAGGCACCAGTGGAGTGAGAGTCACATAAAGGGAACCCCATGGGTCAGTGTCACCCAGTGATGGGGATCCCACTGGTGCAGGTCTGGGGGGCAACGTAGGGAGCACAGAGCAGGACCCAGGGGTAAAGCTTCCAGAGACGGGGGGTTGGCAGGGGGATGCTCAGTGCCAGGCTATTCCCTTGGCAGGGGGATGTTTAATGCCAGGCTATTCCCTTGGCAGGGGGATGCTCAGTGCCAGGCTCTTCCCTTGGCAGGGGGATGTTTAATGCCAGGCTATTCCCTTGGCAGGGGGATGCTCAATGCCAGGCTCTTCCCTTGGCAGGGGGATGTTTAATGCCAGGCTCTTCCCTTGGCAGGGGGATGTTTAATGCCAGGCTATTCCCTTGGCAGGGGATGCCGCGTTTCTCAGGGCTGGCGAGTTGGATACGTGACCCCGTGTCCAGGCTGGCATTAAGACCGACATGCCAGGAGTGGGCCGGTGCCTGGCACGCTGCCGGCCGCTCCCCGGGCTGCAGGAACCAGCGAGGAGCCGCTTTCCTTATCGCCCTCCCGCAGCCCCCTCCGTCCCTGTCCCCTGCGGCTCCCGGCCCGGCCGCCCCCGGGTCACGCCGGGGCTTGGCAGCGGCGCGGGGGAAGCGAGCATTGTGGCTGCCCACTGCGGCCCGGCTGCAGGAGAAAGCAAGGATTTCCTGGCCTGGAGCAAGTCCTTCCCGTCTCCTCCCAGCTGCCGAGAGCCTCGGGGCTGAGGGTGGGCTGTTCCTGACAGGCTTTGGACCAGGAGGTCCACGCTCCCCTGCACGGAGCTGCTGCTGAACGTGCAAAGGAAGCAGAAGGCTGCACGGATCTGGGCGCTTCGGTTGGCAGTGCCAAAACCTCCCCTTGTGCTCCATGCTATCCATAAACAAAACCCCTGCCCAGGCAGAGCCTTTGGCCAGCCCCGAGCTGTTCCCCTTGGTGCTCGTGCATTCTCACACAGTGTGCCACGGGCACAGCGGCAGCTGGGTGGGCTTGTGTCCCCGCACAGGGACTTTAGGGAGGGCAATTCACCCATTGCCGAGCTCAGCCCGAACCCGTGACAGGTCGGTGCTGTGGGGATCTGTGTCCATAACCTGCAGCTCCCTGTGCAGAGCCAGGAGCAGCAAACAGCCCGGCACATCTCCCGAGGCTAAACCCTCACACAGACACCTGGAAAAGGGGCTGTAAGAGCCCCAGCTGGAGCACTGGGCTGGGCAGCTCACACACACAGCCACGTTTCTTCCTGCTCAAATGTCCTCAGCCGAGGCGGGGGCAGCTGCTGCTCCCACCCCCGTGGGCGATACCGCGGCTTCCGCTGTGCCACGACCTTGTGCCGCGGCTGCACCTGCCGATGGTTTTTTTTAGGACAAGGGCTGGTTTCCTGCTGTATTTTCGTGACTGAAAGTTTCCAGTTCTGGGCATGGCTGTGGCAGAAGGGCTGCCACTCGTCTCCTGGCCTGGAGCATCCCCAGCCCTTTGCAATCCTCTCCTTTGGCCCCCGCCCCGGGGGTGGGTTAGGGATGGCACCGTCCTGCCCCGCTGAGGGCTCGGCTGTGCCCATCTGGGGCTGCTCTCCGCACGGGGAGCCGTCAGCTCCCAGCTCCCAGCTAAGCCCTTGGCTCCGGCTCTCTCCCAGCGGAGGTCTGGTTTCTGTCCTGCCGGCTGCTTGTCCTCCCCTGCTTCGAACAGTCCCCGTTTGTTTGGCTCCCGCTGCCGGCTGGAGCTGGGGCCGCGTGCCTGGGCCGCCTGTGCACAAGGGCTCCTTGTTCAGTGCCTCCCTCCCCGCTCGCTCCCCGCCTGCTTTAGCAATTATCCCAATTAGCTGTGCCCTGTCCCTGCTCCCCCGCGGACCCCGCTCCCTCTCGTACCCGCCGCTGTGCGGGAGGGGCGATGCCTGCCACCTTCCTGGTGCGAAACGCGCGGGCTGGGCACAATCCAGGTGCCTGTGGTCCGTGCGGAGCCCCAGGGCTCTCCTCAGTCCTCTTTGGCCCTTCAGGAGGGTGAGGAAGCTGTGCCGAGTCTGCATTTCCCGGGGTGCCACTGGCATCGCCTGGGTGGGCACTGCCCGTCCTGCCCCAGCCTCGGGGGGGTTCCTGCAGCCACGGCCACACCATCCTCATCCTCATCCTCATCCTCATCCTCATCCTCATCCTCATCCTCATCCTCATCCTCATCCTCATCCTCATCCTCATCCCCATCCCCATCCTCATCCCCATCCTCATCCCCATCCCCATCCCCATCCCCATCCTCATCCTCATCCTCATCCCCATCCTCATCCTCATCCCCATCCCCATCCCCATCCCCATCCCCATCCTCATCCTCATCCTCATCCTCATCCTCATCCTCATCCTCCCACAGCTGTGCGG